CACGTTCAGGTTTTCTGACATGAATTTTGCGTATATTTTTCGTCTCTGACTCGCATGATATATGCCCCTACAAATTGGATCCACGTATTTCAGTTGATGACAGTGATATCATAACTCCCCACATTAGCCACAGGGAAGGGGGGGGGGGACAAGTCAGGAACTAATCGCCCCTCTGCGGATTTTTAAAAAAAGAATCAAATTCAAAGCAAGAAGAAGATATACCAAATATTAATACCAAAAATTGAAGTTGGATGATCTTGAACAGATCTTGTGGCGGTATCTGTGTTTCGATGCATAAACTGCATGATGATTCGCAAAATATATTCTTAACTGCCCCAATGCAACTTTCTTGAGAACTTTCCTGTCTTCTCCTCTTGGAAAAGAAATTCTGGTGGAGCCAATGGCTAATTGTTGCGTAATTTTACGAAGCCCATTGCTTTCTGTCCATAAAATCCAGATGCTCCCCTCAGCTTCCTACGGTTAGAGACCAAGTTTTTATTTATTTTTTTCTTAATGGGATGAGACTGAATCCACTTGGTACTTCGGCCTCTAATTGACCTATTGTGCCAACACCGGGTGATAGGCTTTGAGTGTGGAGCAGTGGATGGAATGAGAATTGGTAGGGGAAACCGAAGTACTAAGAGAAAACCTGCACCAGCGCCATTATGTCCACCACAAATACAGCATGATTTGACCTGGGAACAAACCCGGACCTCCGCGGTGGGACGCCAGTGACTAACCTCTTGAACTATGGCGCGGCCACGAGACCAAGTTTTACACCCACATATACCAGAAGGAATATTTATATTTTTGTGTATTTTCATATTTAAATTTACAGATTTAGGAAGAAAAATGAAAGGTTCCGAATTCATTGATGTTAATAATGCCCAGAATATATCCTGGCTGTTCTTCGTGGATGCTGTTTTGAATCAGATACGGACAGCAGTATTACCTGTGTAGACTTAACATTCTCCCACAAGACGTCGCACTAAATTTATTTTTCCACCGAAAACCGAAATACATGGCATTATGAAGTTTTTTTTTGTGTTGCGTCTCTGTGTTTGTTTATTAATTATATCTTTTTCCCATGTTCGCTGTGCTCTTCATTTATGCAGTGGCTTATAATTCTGGAAAAGCATGAAAAATACGTATTCCGTTGAAGATTAATCGCCACAGAACAAGAGTTTGAAGCTATATTCATAGTCAGCCGTTTCCTTCGAAACACTGGTAATTGTCTACCAAAGAACATGATGTCATGTGCTAGAAGATCATAATCTTAGTGGCTATATACACACCGTTTTCCTTTTTAACTGCAACAAATAACTCTGGGCAGCCCTTATAAATTAAAGCTACATGCACGCTAGGGCCGCGCCATAGCTCAAGCGGTTAGTCGCTGGTTTCCCATCGCGGCGGCCCGGGTTCGATCCCGGGTCTGGTCAAGTGGGATTTGTGGTGGACAAAATGGCGCTGGACCAGGTTTTCTCCGAGTACTTCGGTTTCCCCTTCCAATCTTCATTCCACCATTCTGGGGCTGGTACAATAGGCCAGAAGTGGCCGCAGTGCAAGAGACTTAGTCCCATCCCACTAGCAATAAAAAAAATACATACATGCTGTGCTCTTACAGAGCAATAACTACAAGGTGATCCGAAATTACTGTCGGTGTTTTCGTGGTCTGTATTCTTCAAACCTATAATAATAAAATAAAACTGCTTACGGAATATGAAAGTGTAACTCAAAACGTCCTATTACTATAGAACCAATCTTGTTATGAATAAGGTCCAAACAGTCGTTTGTGGTAAACCTAACTGCAAGGAAACTCGTCTAGTTGATTTCATTTGGCTTCGAGATAAAACTTCCTAGATTCGACCAACATCTTCCAGTGAAGTGAACCGCTTTAAGCGACAAAAACTTCTGAACGTAAGCAGGAACATTTCTTTATGAATATCCTGTGCATTGAGTCCTTTTGCCCACAAAAGAGCACAACTGAAGACTGCTTCTCGGTAGTACACTCCTGAAGTACGGCCGCCATTTTGACTTCGGAAACCAGTTTCTGATCAGACGCAATCGCATCTGCTATGAAGACTGTTTTGAAGCTGGATTGCCTTGCTGCTTACCGATGCACACAGAAAATCTGTTACTTCCGCTATAGCTGTTTTTCTTCAATTTGCGGCCTCTTTACAGATTGTCCCTCGCAACTGGCGACTTAGGCTACAAAGGAAATGCCCATCGTCTGCTTTTAGGTACCAAGTCACCATTTAGTTGGAGAGACTGAACGTCAGACTAGTCAACCTTCCAGCCATGAATTGAACACGGGACCTCCCGAACAAGAAGCGTAGGTGAGAATGTTTGGACACACCCGTTGATTCATTTCTCGTCTCGCGTATTGCAGAATAGCTTCAGGCAGACAACATGTTTCGCGCCTTGCCCGTTACCCCGCCGCCGAATTGAAAGCCGTGGTGTTCAGTTGCGTCTTCACAAAGATCAATATTTGAGATCTCAGTGAAAACTGCGCTTCATTATGGTAACATTATGCAGTCGGGGACTTTAATTAATGCAATTGAATTCTGTCTCATGGGATGCCTCTTAGAAGCGGTTTCTAGTTACAGCAAAGTGTTCGTGATAAGGAAGTGACAATTCCAACAAATATTGGTTAATATCATATTGATGGATATTGACCTTATTTCCTTTACTTACTTACGGAGCTGAGCCTTCTTGAAGAGAAACGAAATCTGCAGCTACTCAAAAATTTCTCAGCATTTCATAGAACCCGAAAGTTCATTACCGTGTTCACAAGAACCTTTCACTGGTCCCTGTCCTGAGTCAGATCAATCGAATTCATACCATCTCATGCTATCTCTCTAAGATCCATTTTAATATTGTCCACCCACCTACGCCTCGTTCTTCCTCTTGGTCTCTTTCCTTCTGGTTTTCCCACCAATATCCTATATGTATTCCTTTTCTCACCCATTCGTGCTACATGCCCTGCCAACCTCATCCTCCTTCACTTGATGATTCTAATTATTAAAATTCATTTGCCATCACAGTAAAACATTATTTCATATTTGTGGCCACTAGTGTTGGAGAAATTATACCGTGATGTATTTTTTCTTCTCGCTCCCAATTTCGAGCATAGGGCTCCAAGTTTACCGACGTCTCGGATGAACCATATAACCTTCGTATTTAGGTTGGAAGGATAGCCGTTTAAACACCTTTGGGTTGGTGAAGTCAAATTACGAAATAAACTGAATTCATAAGTTAATTTTCAATTCAGAGTTCTAATGGTAAGTCTGTCCCTGTAACAGGTCGTGGAGGCTCATGGGGTTGTGAGACGTTGAGGCTCACACATTTTCTAGACAATCGGCTCACAGATGGCAGTGAGGTTGTCAGTCTTATGCGACGGCTGCCTTTTACTCTCAGGAAGATTCGTGGTACTCATTTCAATTAGATGTTGAGTCGACCCCAGGGATATAGTTTGGCTGGAAGGATTAGATCAATTGAAAAATCCAGTGATCTCATCGGGAATTGAACCCGCGACCTTTCGGCTTGTAATATAGTACCTCAACCAACTACACTACCGCGTGCCCCGAGATTTCAAGTAAACAAGTATATTTCTAGTAGCCTTTCAACTGTAGCAAATAATGTAAAGCAGAGATAAAAATCGCTTGATAGTACAGAAATTGGAAGTACTTTGGTACACCACGTCACAAAAATTTCCTTATTGAAGCATTTACAAACCACCCAAAAATTATCAGTTGGAGGTTATGTCTTCAGACACTCAGTGCTGGTAGTCCCGCTGTCACTCAGCTTCAGCATCAGTCTTTAGTTCGAATCTGTTCTCCGGTGTGTCCAAACTCTCGAACAGTTTAGTGTCTGTCACGTTTTCATTTATGTACAACCGAAGATGGTTCTGTGGCCTAAACCGCACTTAAAAGACACATTGCCCAGGGGCTCCAGAGCCACGAGAACAGAGCAGTATCCGCTAGATATATCTGTACGTGGTTATATCTACCTGGAGAGTCAAGGGCCCAAAGACCCCCTGTTAGGAGAACTGTTATGTGTCAGTGCACAGTTGTTCTTCCTCTGCCACGTGTCACTCTGCCTCGCGCACCTGCATTCTATGTATACGCAGCTTGTTAACTCAGTTTGTCAGTAACTGAGACTATGCAGCATCAAATGGTAGACGAACGGTAAATAAATTGGAGAAGTGTCGGCTTCTCGGTTGTAATGCCATATATTTAAGAGAGTGTGACGTTTCGGATGAACACATCGACTCCATCTTTAGGGTCGAAGAGTAAGCAAAGCAGACGACAAAGTTGGGGGTGATACCCTCCTCCGAAACATGGAACTACTCTGAACTACACAGGGTTACAACCCAGAAGACCGTACTGTTAGTATTTATCTCTGAGAATCTTAGATGCAACAGGATAATTGGAAAATTTCGGGAAGGAATCGCTTGTGGCCCGATTGGGGCGTAATGAGTAAATTCGTGGAATATGTCAATGAGAATGTCCAGCGATCTGGCCGACATTCTAGATGAACACCATCCGAGTGCAAGGTTATCGCTGCCTCAGCTCGGTAACCCTTCGGAGGAACATGCTGTCTTCACGCAACCTGAGAACGGAGAGAACTTGCGGTGGAAGAACAGGTGTCCCGACGGTTGCCTATCCTCACCCCTCCCTCCATTAACAAAGAAAGGTTTCAAATATTTCAGTCGACGTTCAATGGCAGCAAATGTAGTATGGTTTAGATGGCGCCCGTGTAAGAACGTTTCCTGGCAGAGGCGCGCATCCCTCCAAGCATTACCATTTGTAAGGGCATGCATAAGATTCATGTCCACCAGTATGTTCAGTTGTTACCAACTCATATCTGTAATAGTCACAGTAACACGTCGTAAGGAAGTTAGAATTTCTCAGTACGTACTGTAGCAGTGATTGTACAGTTTGTCACTACATACAAACAAGGCGTGCGACCCAACACTGAAGTATATTCTCTTGTTCCAGGTTTTGCATGGTGTTCACGTGCCTGGCGCTCAGCGTATTCTCGACAATAGAAAAGTACGAGAAACAAGCGAGCATCATACTTTTCTACATGGAGACCGTAGTGGTGGTGTGGTTCACCGTAGAGTTCTTCCTGAGGTAAGGTTCTTTTTATAGGCAGTGTCAACACCTGTACTTTTGTTTCAGAATAATATCACGGTTTGTAAGAACAAGACCTTAAGAGAAATGATGTGGTTAAGGAATGAGCAACCATTATTCACACGTCAGAGTGGTGAACATACAGATTATGTTCAGTGCCTGATATTCACATAATACATTCAACATCAACTACTTCAGCAGATTAACAGGAGTGTTAACCAATATAAAATCAACCCAATATGGTATACGATACAGTATATGCATTGTATAACACCAGTGAATCCACTCTATTAGAAATGTAAAGTAATTTCTTGGCAGAAAAAAACTGTAATTAAAAACCGGACCATATGTCGAAACAATGGAAAATGTCTAGCATAATACTGGTGCAATATCACATAGTCACATGATCAAAGAACAACATTTCACAAATTTTGCCTTTTTGTGTAACTTAATCCAGTTCCCTAACTGTTAGTTTGGGTCACATGTATCTACCTCATGGTATTTATTTGAAATACTAACCTAAACACCGTTTAAACTGCAACGGAAATTTTCTAGATACATACTTCATTAATGTTATACTGAACCTTCATGTTGCATTAATATTCAACTTTGAACATATATAATACCGTCGTAAATGAAACATTTATTTTCTGTCTGACATACATCTTAGTGTAACGGATTTGATTAACGCGTTGCAAAGGCAACAGCTCTGTAAACACCGTCCAACACGCAACAATAGAGGAGGCTGTTTTTCTGTGTCCGCGGTGACGTCATGCAGCCTTGGATGGTGGTTACGGATATGTTTCCTGTGATGCGTGTCCGTTCCTCAGCTATATAAATGACAGAATTCGTTCAGTTCAGGGGCAGTTACGAGTCAGTGTTAAGCTAGATGAGGGAGTCCAGGAGGGTTCAGTAGTTGACAGTACAAGGAGGAGTAGTGGAACGTGTCCTTAGTGAATTGTGAAGGTTAATTGAATACAGATTAGGGCAGAGGAGTACAGAGCGATTGAAGACGAAATAGCAAGAAGACTTAATAGTGATTTAAAGTGCTAGTTTCTTGGTTGAGATCCGTTGTTAGAGGACGATAAGTAGAAACTGAGAATCCTAGTTGGAGTGCAACGTTGAACTGGAAATTGTGTAAATCATCGATATCTCTGTATTAATTGTAATTAAGAGAGAGAGTGTACCCGAAGTGCTAATAAATCCAATCATCCGAACTAAAACCCATTATTTTCGTCACGCATACCGCCCTACATTTGACTTATCTTACTACGACATATTTCTGCCGTGTACGACCACTACTACTAAAATTGTTTCACTGTATGCTCCATTTTGTCACACGTCTATACTCGATGTTAATTTTTATGTTAATAATAATAATAATAATTCAATTCAATTCATGTGTATTTACGAGCAAACTTAACAGCACAGAGGCCAATTACAAAGCTAGTGCGAATAGAGAACTACATACAAATAATTAAAAAACAGTATACAAAAATGATAGTCTATATTAATTAAACAGTTAGCATGAATAAGGATACAGAAGAAAACACACAGACAAAGTCACAGTGTGAGGATTTGAGTTTCAAATAGAGCAGCATACAATAATAATAACGAAATTAATAAAAATAATGATAATAATAATAGTTTAATTAGTTCAGTATAAGATATGTTTCATCAACAGAGTTTTTGGTCCAAAGACCTCAACGTCCCTATAAACAACATTAGCAGCAGAAGCGCATCTAGCAGAGGGGCAATTTTTACTAACAGAACAGACATTGAACATAGGAAAGTCTCGGATATATCGAACAGGGACCCGAAGGCGAACAATTTCCAAAGCAGAAGGGCAAAGTACAGAACCACGATAAACTTCAATAAGGAAGAGTGCATCAAAGTGATACCTCCTCTTTTGCAAGGTGTACAATTTCAGTTGTTCCAAAGCAAAACCGTAACAATAATAATGGCAGACGATAGGGTCTAATGGGGAGAGGGGGCTCTTGTGGTCACGGCAATAAACTTTCGGATTCCAGAAAATGTTGGGAAATTCTTGAGTAGTTGCACAAGAAGAGCTCAGCTTAATGGAGTTAGTTGATGATAATAATAATAATAATAATAATAATTCGGTTACGCAAACCATATAATAACATAGACATCCATGCATTGAGTGGGATTCCATCTCACGATCCCGGCATTCGAGCTAGCGAAGACAGTTCATGCCCTAGACCGCCCGGCAGCTGCGATCGGCTAGTTTGTTGTTTAGGGTCAAATTAAGATATTATTGCGAAAACAGAAGCAGAATGTTTCTGATGCATTTACATTTACCACACACCTTTATAATGAGAATCTTGCGAGAGGAGAGGGGTTCTGAAGGTTGGTATAGGCCAGAATTCTTGGCATCAACAATTCTCCTCGTTGAGCCAATAATGAAGGCAGATGGTAATAGGTTTAGACTACGCCAAGCCTACAGCTGTTACAGTTTGTTCACTTCAACTGGTTTGATGGCGTTGTTCCCAAGTTAGCATTGAGTTAGACGCGTGACATTAACTAATGGTGGTGTCTCGTCTTGTGAGTGTCAGGCAGGAGTATTACTTCTCACTTCTCTTGTCTTCCATACCGTCTTCAACCCGTTATAACACAGTAGATGTATTAATCCTTCGAAGCTTGAAAGTGAGAGACGGACGAGGAAGTGGTGCGCTGTATATTGAGGGAGTCGATCACAGTTGCCGCGCGGTCTAATTCAAGAACCGTCTTCGCCCCCTCAAACACTGTGATCGTGGGTTCGAATTCCACTCGAGGCATGGATGTCTGTGTGCATTTATTCTGTGTTCTTCTGCCTGTAGGTAGCGACCTTGTCACGGGTTGATCCCCGTCCAAGGATTCCTGCCGTCTGTTTATAGGATTAAGAAACTGAAAAAGCGGCTAAGGTCCAGCAAAGGGCAGCAGATGGATGGATGGATAGAATAGTGAGGGACACTGTAATTTACCGAGGGAGGAACGGGGGGCAGAAAAGTAATCAATTTTTAGGTTCTCAGGCAATTGCTCCTCTTTTAGGTTGTAATTTTAGGTTGGAGAAAGTTTTGGAAAGTGAAGAAAGTAAAAAAAGTAAAGCATTATGAAGTGTTCTTGTTGTGAGTAGAGGGAGAAGTGGGCAGGGTCTTTACAGCGATCTATCAGAGTTGTACTAATAAGGTTTGCGAGAAGCTGTGTTATGAGAGATATTTAATTTAATATTGAGAAGGCTATTTTAGGGCGGAATTTGTATGTTTAGATGAGAAGGGCTGCATGCTGAGGGTATAGTGCAACGTAAAATTTGTGTATCAATCCAGCATTTTCTCAACTAATATACCATTGCTACATATTGATATTTCAACAGGTTTGTTTTACAGAAATTTCTTTAAGTTTGTCACCTGATTGAGTGACTACAGACACGGTTCAGATTGGTAATCGTATTTACTGAACTCATACAACTCGTAACTCCAAGTTAGGATTATGCTCTCACTGTACTACACACTTCACAGATCACCACAGGACACATTAGGGCTTTTCAGTCTTNATAATAATAATAATAATAATACAAACAGGCGTACAAACAGACAGAGAGATTCTGGCAAACAGGCCAGACATAATAATTAAAAACAAGCAGAAGAAAACTTGCATACTTATAGATGTATCAGTACCATCGGACAGGAGTGTACAAAAAGAAGCAGAGAAGAAATTAAAATATAAAAATTTAAGCATCGAAATTCGGCGAATGTGGAACATGAAATGTTTTGTGATACCAGTAATTATTGGAGCCACGGGTACAGTCACGAGAGAGTTGAGAAAATATTTGGAACTAATTCCTGGTAAGCACTCCATAGATTCCCTGCAAAAAACAGCTAACCTGGGAACATCACACATACTACGGAAAGTGCTACAGTGCGAAGCTTGAAGCCTGAGTGGTGAGGTGCATCACTGGTTCAAGAAAAGGAATACCAGGAATGGCGGTCGTTGCCTACCAGCGGGTCTACGTGCCACAATATTTATTCTTTGAATTGCAATTCTCAGGTGTGGTCTGCAGTTGGAGGCTCATTTTTTCATTTGATGTCATTCGTATTCCTGTCACGAGTATTCATGACATTTTAGATAGCTTTGGGACTGTTCCTTAGCTCAGGCGGTTAGTCGCCGGCTTTGGAGCGGGACAGCCAGGTCTGTTCACGCGGGATTTCTGATGGAGGAGGGGTTTCCCCTACTTTTCATATACATTAATCATCTTGTCGCCTGGTGCATGGTCCCGATGCTATCAGCGCCGTTAAATAACCACATAAAATAATTAAACAATTTTGAGATATTTTCAGGCCGGTCACGGTAGCCGAGCGGTCTAAGGCATGCACTGTCTTCGCTCGCTCGGAAGCCGAGATCGTGGGTTCAAATCCCACTCAGGTCAAGGATGTTTGTGTGCGTTTTTCTGTGTTTGTCTACAGGTAGAGGCCTTGCGACGAGCTGATCACCCGCCCAAGGAGTCATACCGAATGTGTAAGATCTAGAAAACCCGAAGTGAACGGAGAAGTTCATGGAAGTAGGTCTAGGACCACTGGGGCTGTAGTGCCAAGGGGGAAAAAGTGTATCCTCAGAATTCATCTAATTAATGATTTTTAAAAATATTTAGCTTCTGTTTCGCAGGAAAAACATTTTTCCTCCATTTAGGAGAATAATCGATATGAATTCTCAGAGTTAAATGGAACTCGTAATACAATGATGAAAAAAATACGAGTTTTGAACCTTGAACCTTATTTTTGTTGTGAATATTCTGACAGCTTAAATACTTTGAAATATGTTTCTATGTAAGTCTGAAATTCAGATAAATAACAGTAAAATATATTTAGTTCCTACCTTACAGAAAAGAAAATTAAATGTCAGTTTCAAAAACCGACAGATTAGTGCTATTCGAAGAAATAAACGCTGTTATTCTGAGAATCACACGAAACACATAGACGTTACTTGGTCAGAATGCAGGAGTT